ACACGTGCAAATGCATGAAACATCAGGCATACTACTAAGTATTTATAAAAGAATGCGACGATTTGAATTGGCATTCCAGTAGGAACTAATTTTTCTTTCTTGATAGGATTAGAGAGAGGAGGTATTTAGCCATATTTACGTTTCTTCAACAGTTGTGTTGAACTCAGCTCAACCCTGATGATATCGGACTGTCGAGCTAGGACCGATGGTTCGGTACTCGGACTTGCTCGCATTGAGGCATGTACGGCGTAGTTAAATCAAACGATTGCAGAACAGCGGGAATAAGCTGCCATGTTCTAGTGAGATAGATTTATGACTTTCTTTCTCAGTAAGTAAAAGTTACCACAACATGATTTTGTCTTTTATCCTACAAGCTTTAAATGTGCATTATTCATCTCGCTTCAAATTAAAATCCATATAAGCAAATTGCTTTGCTACCTATTTGTTTATCTCTTAGTTGACTTCTAATTTCGTATCCTTGTCTATCTCACATGAATTCGCTCCAAAGGCTCAACGCGAAGCTGATCAGCTCTCAGTCCAAGTGAAAGATCTTTGCGACGAAGTATCGGTTCTCTTTTCGGATGCTTCCTCAGATACCTTCAGCAACAACCAGCAGGCATTGTGTGGACACTGTCTCACATTGAATCAGCGTATAATCAGCCTATCTGAGGCGACCAATCGAGCTGGTATAAGCCAATGGCGCCGAGATGCTATGCGCGAGGAGCTTTCATCTGCCAAAAAGCTAATTGAAAATCGCGAAAAGGGGGCCAAGTTACAGATAACCAATCAAGTGGATATCCTCTTCTCTTCCTATTTTTGATATGCTCATTCCTCTTTTTAGTTTGGTATGCTGATAATTCTGGTTGCTAGAAGATAGACGAACATTTCCTCCAACTAATCTCCACTTTAGAGGCTAGCCCTTCTTCATCTTACGCGACCTAGGGTTGGCACAGCTCAAGGTCTACTGATATTATCGAAACCACTAATTATAAATAAATATTATTGTCGATTGTACTGGAAAAATACATGCCTCATCGATATTTCCCCTATAAATCTGACATAGGAGTTGTCTGAAATTCACGTTGTATGCGCTACCCACTGCATATACGGTTGTGTGGAATTCCGAGCATGCATGCTGCATTGTAGAATTTTGGTTTTGCTGTGGCTGTCGAATAGTTCCAGTCGAGGTAGAAATTGTAATCCACATAGGATGAGAATACCTTTAGGGTGCAAGGCTAAATAAGATTCCCTGGGATCGTAAAGTCTACTCTTATCCTATTGAAGAAATTCAACCACCAGATTTAACTCATCTCATGCAATTTAGAATCACTAAAGCTTCATCGCTATTATCGAAACCTATTAGCTATTAATAAATTTTTGATCTGCCTTGTTTTGTATGAATCAGCAGGCTATTTTTGTTGATGACATAGGATAAAACTCATTTTTAAACAATATAACATAGTCATGCTCCATTAATCCAATACTTATTACTCCCACTATAAATTAGTGAATCAGATGAGTGACCTATGCACTGAGTTTATTTGATATATTCTGAAATAAAAAAACGAAATTCATGAATTCGTCCGATGGCTGTTCAGCCAGGCATAAGTATACTTAGACTTTATTCAAATCGGGTGACCTAATTCAACATAAACCTTAACAAATGAAATTATTTATTCTTATATTTAATAAAAACGGTGCATCATCTTTACTTAATTTTAATAAAATCTTATTATTGGGCCAAGAGTAAGCAATCAGCTTTATAACAACAAAAGCTCTGTCAAATAAGCCATGGCAAAATGTAATGGTCTTTTCTAAAGCCATTTTCGCCATACTAAACTTCCAATAGTCTAAACGAGTAACTTATGAACTTTTCAAAAGCCTGTCATATTTGCTTTGAGGATTTTCTTGTTTCGTGCCTTGGTTGTACACGCTATGAAAATGCAACGCAGGACAGTTTTAGTCGATGTTATGAAGGCCAAGATGGTGTAGCCTTAAGTATGGTCGCGGTTTACTTTCGTTGAATACAAATTGTTTGATTTTGTTTTCGCAACTTAGTTGTATTATCAGATAAGAACGTATCTGGTCCGGAGTCCATAGTATTTATTATACTTTCCAGCTTCGGATTGTGAACTTGGTACATTCCCTGAAGTTTCATCGGTATATTATTGAGCCTTGCCGACCCTGGTCTGCCCTTTTAGTTCGCAATCCTCTTCATCCATGTCCTATCAGAGTCTCCCTCGTCCCGTAGGATCGGTCTCTTATCTCTGATTCAGTGATTTAACTTGATCACTAACGTCATATCCGTGCCACTAAAGGCGTCATATTCTACACTCCACCTCAAGCCTTTGGTAGCATGCATACTCCAGCCTCCCTGATCAGGCCCCCAAATTTGTAATTTTCAAGCTGGATGCTAAACTAACTTGACACTGTAGATTCCACTA